GTTTCTCTAGAGAACCCAATCCAACACAGTTCCTCAAGGTAAATCTGGAGGCAAATTTAGGGGCCGTAATATATGGCATAAATTTACTATCAAGCATAACTCAAAATGCTGAAATACCAGAAGAGAAACTAGATTAATGGGACCTTGTAAAAATTAAATTTTTATGTGCTTCCAAAGACTTCTCCAAAAGAGTCAAAAGAGAACCTATAGATTAGGAAAGGATATTTGGCAATGACATATCTGACAAGGGACTTACCTCTAGAATTTATAGAAAACTCCAACACCTCCATAATAAAAAGACAAATAATCCAATTAAAAATGGGCAGAAGACATGAATAGACACTTCACCCAGCAGGATATTCAGGCAGCCAAGAAACATATGAAGAAATGCTTACGATCATTAGCCATTAGAGAGATGCAAATCAAAACAATAATGAGACACCATCTTGCCCCAGCACTAGCAGCAAAGTTCAACAAGACAGAAAATAACAAATGCTGGAGAGGATGTGGAGAGATTGGTATTCTCCTCCACTGCTGATGGGACTTCAAAATGGTACAACCACTGTGGAAAGCAGTATGGTGATGCCTTAAAAAGTTGGAAATAGAAATACTGTTTGATCCAGCCATTCCATTGCTAGGTATATATGCTAAAGAAGTGAGAGCCATGACAGGAACAGACATGCACACCCATGTCTATTGCAGCGCTATTTATAATAGGAAAAAGTTGGAAACAACCTAGGCGTCCATCAGCTGAGGAATGGATAACCGAACTATGGTACATACACAGGGTGGAATATTATGCAACCCTAAAGAATAATGTAGAATCTGCAAAACACTGCATACTATGCATGAACTTGGAGGACATTATGCTGAGTGAAATAAGTCAATCACTGAAGTACAAATATTGTTAGTCCATTGTAGAAGTCAAGGAACGGTTTATATATGGAAGGAAATTTTATTTGTACTAGGGGTGGGAGGGTAGGATAGGGAACACTGTTAGATAGGTAGAGATAAGTATAGATTTGGGTGAAGGTAAGGCAATGTACCAAATGTGAGTGATGAACATGGTGGCATTGAGGAAGAAGAAGACAGAGAGAGGTACGTGGGAGGTACAGACAATAAAGATGAACCCTTTTGCACATACAGTACTGCGTTGTCAGTGAAGGCAAACATGGGTATACGGGTGGATAGATGAGTGGACAGGCTGAACTATTAGGTACGTCTATGCAGCAGGGAGTGTACCCAAGACCATATATAGGGTTGGAAGACAGTGGTTCTACGAGTGTATTTGTATGTTCTGTAAGAATTCCTAAGGGTATAGTAGAGCTGACAAGGAACAAGTTTGTAGTCATTTCTTGGTCACAGCCACCTACTCAGAGGGATCGAATAGTTGAACCTGTGGGCTCAGGACCATAGTTGCAGGGGACATCAAGGTCAATTGGTATAACATACTACACAAAATATTGTTCCACTTTTTACTTTGGTGAGTAATGACTGGGACCTTAAAAGCTTGCAAGCAGCCATCTAGATGCAACAATGGGTCTCTCATCCAGAGCAAAGAAGAATGAAGAAAACCAAAGATTCATGGAAACAATTAGTCCTCATGACTGGTAGACCATATGATCCTCAGCCTATGTGACTATAAGACCAGAATTAGATGGTGCCTGGCTACCACTGTCAACCACTCGGAGAGGGATCTATGTAGGAGATCCAGGATAGAGAGGGAGAACAATGTGGAACAAAACTCAAAATAATTTGGGGAAAAAAACGGGTGGACCAGGTTTGCTGGTCTGATAGAGCCTGGTGGAACCACTAAGACTATGGTCCCTAGCCACCTTTCAGGTCTGAAATTGAACCCACACCTGTGGCTTCCAGCCAAGCAAAAGACAGGCATATGAGTTGAATGTGTACCTGAGATACATACACTCCTTGGAGAGAACAATCATGGGAAAATGAAGGGCTCTTTATGCACAGGGAGACAGCTCAGGGGGCAGGAGTGCATGGAGGGATGGACAAAGGGAAGAGGTAACTATGGGGAGGAACTGGGGAAGAGAGCTGTTGCAGTGGGTAAATTATAGTCAATGTCATGAGACAATGTGTGTGTGAACTGCTGTATGGAAAGTGAATTTGCTCTGTAAACTTTCACCCAATCACAATTAAAAAAAAAAAAAAAAAAAGAACCACAGAGTAGTAGACCATCCAGCACTTTTTTTTTGGTATGCCCATGGAAAGGTTAATTCCTTCCCATACTGGCATCAAAGCATATTATTGCTAACTCCTAACTGGATCAGCTGTCAGTGTGGAAGGAGATTTTGATGGAGGGGAGGTGGGTCATTGTGGAGGATCCAGAAGGTGGGAGATTTGGCATCCTGCAGTGTGCTAAAGGCAGCATCAAGTCACTGTGAGAGAAGTCCTGGGAGATGGGAGAGCTTCTAGAGGCTTCCAGAAAGGAAGATGGCCAACGACAAATATGGCCAGCATCACATGAACGTTCTCACTCAGTCTCTTCACCATTTTACCCCTTTGGCATCCATTGAAAACCAGTCTAGGTGGTTTTTGGCTACATGGTGAATGGGATGGATCATTTTGTGAGGTACCATCTTAGAAGTTTAATACCTTCTATCTGTTCTATTTTGTGACAAAAATATATTTAGCTCACCCTCAGCAGTGAGCTCTTGGGTTGCAATCGATTTGTGATTTGGAATTTGTTTAGCTTACGAATACTCTGTGGGGTTAGGTGAATATGATCATAGTAAGGTACAGTGGGGCCAAGAGAAATGACCTGTGGACCTGAAGAGTAGGATGTGGAGCCCTTGATCAGTCTTAAGTGTGGCTGATCCTCTTGCCAAAACATGAAGCATTTCAAGTGATTCTTACCTTGTCACTGAGGTGTTAGCGTTAAACAAAATGACATAATTCGTTCAGTGCAAAGAATTTACTTTTAGGCAAATTAACTGTTCCTTTTCCCAGCCAGTGTTCCTCATGTGCAGCCACTACCCATCTATCATTGGAGGTTTATGGGTTGCTATGATGGTGAACTGGTTTCATTGGTGCTTCCAGAATAAGAAAGACTAGGAAGAAAGGTCCAGTGATCTACTTCTGAAAATCAGCCAGTGCGAGCCCTGTTCCTCACAGCAGTCTGATCCACAGCTGGTCTGGGGATGGTGGAGGACTGGTCAGCATGTTGTTCCATTGTGCATGGGGATTCCATGAGTCAGGGGCTCACTCTATGGCAGCTGAAGACTACAGGTTTCCCCTGCTATCCAAAAGCAGAAGGTTCCTCTGAAACCTTTTGTAAACGGAAATGGCGTAAAGCGGAGAAGCAATTATTAATTTATATGGGAAGAGTTTTTTAAATGTCCCTAGACCTAAAAAATATCCTACCAAACCATATGAAATAACACTTAGAACCTAAAATAACACTAACCTGTAGTATTCACAGACAGGTCAGAGCTGTACAGCTTGATGCTGAGATGTTGCATATATGTAGTTCTCAGGGAAGGAACTTGGCAGTATTGTTCTTGCTGACTGGGGTGTGTGCTGCTGCTTTAATGGCTGACTGCAAAACAAATGGTGACCACTAGTTTCGCTTTTCATCTTTTGTTGTGAAAGTGAAATTCCTCTTCAAATTTTTTTCGTTTGCAAAAACAGGTACTACTAACATAGGTCTTTCATAAAAGCAAACTGGTGTGAAGCGAACTTTTGAAAAGCAGGTGACATCTGAATATCCAAGTTGAATGGGTGGAAATTTATGGGGTGTTTTCTGTAGTAGGAAGCTTTCCTGACCACTCTGTGTATCTTTTTCAGTGTGGGGCTGCTGGCATTTGCATCTCATCCCACAGGTAAGCTTTACTACACTGTTACTTTGTTTCCCTTACATTGCCTATTCATTCAGAGCTCTGACCTTAGTTATATCTCCCAGGTACATTTTGTAAGAACATTGTTACTGTCTTTCAGGATAGCAAACCCAGAGGTTAGGAATGGCCCACATACAGTAAAAAAAGAAAAAAACCAAACTCACTGCCATTGAGTTGATTCCAACTCATAGCGACCCCCTTTGGGTTTCCGAGGTGGTAAATCTTCACAGAAGTAGATTGCCCAGTCTTCCTTCTGCAGAGTGGTTGGTGAGTTTGAACCACTGACCATCTTGTTAGCAGTCAAATGCCTTGGGCACTACATCATCAGAGCTCCTCTGCACATGGGGGCTGGGGGTAGGGGTATGTTCCAAGGAGTCCAGGGGATACCTGAAACTACAGATAGTCTGAACCATATATATACATACATATATATATATATGTATATATACACACATACATACATACATACATATATATATATGTATATATTTGTTGTTGTTGTTATGTGCCATCGAGTCGGACCCGACTCATAGCAACCCCTCCTTGGGTTTCCAAGGCAGTATCACTACAGAAGTAGTTTGCCCCATCTTCCTTCCGAGGAGTGACTGGTAGGTTTGAACTGCCAGCCTTCTGGTTAGCAGTCAAGTAAGTACCTTAGGCACTAAGCTACCAGAGCTCCTATATGTATACACACACACACACACACACATACATGTACACAGTGTTTTTCCCATGCATACATATCTATGAGAAGCTTATAAATTAGGCATAGTTACAGATTAACAACAATAACTAATGAAGAAATAGTACAATCATTAAATAAAATAAGGGTTGCTTGAACACAGGCGCTGCGGTACCAAGACAGTTGATCTGATAAACTAGACGGCTGCTAAGTGACTGATGGCCATATGCAGCATGGATACACTGGACAAAGGAATGATTCACGTCCTGGGGTGGGGTGGTGCAAGACTTCATTGCTCTACTCAGAATAGCATGAAATGTAAAACTTACGAATTATTTTTTCTGGAGTTTTCCATTTAATATTTTCGACCGTGGTTGACTGTAGTTCACTGAAACAGTGGAAAGCAAAACCACAGATGAGAGGGGACTACTGTACTTGAAAGTGTTCTTAATAATGCATTATGGATTTGCTGCCCATGTGTTTATTCTTATCCCTACTTGAATTTTGTTTTCTCTGTTTTCACGTGGTATCATCCTAGTTTTACAGACAAGTTTATTATAGCAGATAATAAATAAGCTTGCTTTGCCCACTTTTAAAATCCCTTCTTCAGCCATCTAGACTAGCTCTTCAGTTCTAGTGCTAAAGGGTTTGGTGAAAAAGTTTAATTTCACGCTCACTGATATATAATATAAAAAAAGTTCAACTTTCTTTCTCACTGATACAATTTTATAATTGGCCATAAGATTTTTTTTTTTTTTTATGTTTATTGATCACTTTCTATACTCAAGGCACAATAAGGTAGGTTCCTGCTTGAATTACCCAAACCCTCTGGGACTGGATTATGGTTAAACCTCTTCCAGCTCTCACTTCAAGTTCAAAACAATGACACCTATCTATTGGTGTTTGTAGCTGCTTCAGCCTATTTGAACTAGCATCCTCAGAGAACTGTCAATAGTGACTCATAGGTAATGTTCCCAGATTGCATATGATGTATCAGAACCATGTCTCATCAGGAGAGTCACAGTGATCTTTTCCTTAGTGCGTTAATCTACACTTGTTCACAGTGAAGCACATCTGCTGCTTCCTGCCCACTCCCACAGCCTGGTGTCATCTCAGAACTATGAGGCTTACTGCTGGGCCCCCTCGCCACTTTTATTTGTTGAAAGTCTAGCCTTTGTAAAATAGTAAGTCATGAGAAACCATGCTGTTAACCCTAAGCTGTTTCTGCTGACCCTGTGCTGGTGTCTGCCTGTAAATCAAGCCTCTAGTCATTCCTTCAGACAGCGAGGTGGTTGCCATCCTATAGATACTGAAGTGCCTCTGCTACCTATCCTCCTCCTTTGAACTGTGCTGTGTCAAAGGCCTTTGGGAAATTAGGCTCACTGGTTCGCCTTGGTTTGCATTTATTTACTTCCTGAATGTTTTCTAGTGGATTTGGGTGAGTAATTTTTGCCTGAAGAAATCACTTTGATTTTCGGCTAAGATGTTATGCTTGCTTATTTGTTACACATAATGATTAGTGATTACCGTTATGAGTATTGTGATTTTTAGTGATTATCCAAGCTATCACCAAACTTCACAAATGAGGACATTGATTCTAAGGAATAGTCATACTGCTTTCCACAGTGGTTGTATTGCTTCACAGTCCCACCAGCTGTGTATGAGAGTCCCCATCTCTCCACGTCCCCGCCAGCGTTTGTATTTCCTGTTTCATTGAACCTTGCCATCAGTCCTGGAGTGAGACAGTATCTTATTGTTTTGATTTGCATCTCTCTGATGGCCAGTGATGGCGAGCATCACTGCAAGTATTTGCTGGCCACCTTGAATATCCTCCTTGGTGAAGTGTCTATTCATGTTTTCTGCCCATTTCCCAACTGGATTGTTAATTTCTTTGTGTTGAGGTGTTGGAGTTTTCTATAAATCTTAGAGATAAGTCCCTTGCCAGATATGTAATTATTGGCAAGTATGAATTTGTTGCTATCATTTTATTATGTGCTTTTTCGTTGTGTTGATTTCTTTGTTCTATATCATTTTCTGTGCTGAGCTCGTTTTGTTTATGAATCATGTTATCACTTCCTTCAATACTGTTGTTTTAGTATTTGTTAAATGTTTGTGCTGGTCCTCTTTTTTTATTTTGATGTGAAGGTTTATCATTTTACTTTGAGGTTACCTTGTGATTTCTACTTTTCTTCTCAAGTTTAGAACAGTCTGTTCTATCTTATAGTTGTCTTGACTTCCCTACCATTTAGAAGTTCTGTAACTACATAGCTTTATCCCTCTTTTTGGTTTGTAGTTGTCCTCATTTGTTAATTGATGTCTCTGGTTCCCTATTTATAATCTCATAGACTTATTTACTTTGGATACTTCCATAGCTGGGTTGGTTTCTGGAGTATGTCATCATGTGTGTTAATGGACATTTGTTGTTTGCTATTGTTGGTTCTCTGTCCAAAGCACTCCCTTTAGCATCTCTTGTAAGATTGGTCTGGTTTTAACAAATTCCCTTAATTTCTACTTATCTGGAAATGTTCTAATTTCATCATCATATTTCAGGGACAGTTTTGCTGGGTATATAATTATTGTTGGAAAATTTTCTCTTTCAGGTTTTATATATACTTTCCCATTGTCTTCTTTCCTGCATGGTTTCTGCCAAGAAATCCAAGCTTAGTCTTACTGATTGCTCCTTGTAGGTAACTTTTTTTTTTTTTTTTTCCATCCTGCTTTCCGGATTCTTTCTTTGTCTTTGATTTTGGTGAGTTTGATGATGATATGTCTTGGTGATTTTCTTTTGGGGTCTATCCTGTTTAGGGTTCGTTGGACTTCTTGATTGGATATATTCTCATCTTTCATCATACCAGGAAAATTCTCTTGCAACAAATCTTTGATGATTTTTCCTGTGGTTTTATTTGTCTCTTCCTGTTCTGGAATTCTGATTATACATAGGTTATTCTTTTTGATGGTATCCCACAGGAACCCTAGGCTTTCTTCATTTTGTTTTGATCTTTTTTTCTGGTTGATCCCTTTCCAAAGAAGTATTAAGGTATTTGCCTTCAAGCTCACTGATTCTGTCTTCCATTGATTCAGTTCTACTCCTTTGCCTGTTCAATGTGTTATCTAGTTCTGAAAATTTAGTATTAATGTTTTGGATTTCTGTCTGTAGATTTTGTATCATTTCTAATTTTTCATTTATTTTATCTTTTATTTTTCTTATATTATCTTTCAAAATTGTTCTAGTGTTTTCCACAGTTTTGTCAGTGTTTTCCTTGAGCTGTCTCTCAATTCGTTGAAGGTACCTAAATATAATTCTTTTGAATTCCTTATCAGGGAGTTCCAATGCTGCATCTTCCTCAGGGATGTGTTTTTAGGTCTGTATCCTGGTCCCTTATTTCTGTTGCTTTATCTTGTTTCTTTGTGTGGAGTGTGATGCTCTGTTGTCTCTGAGACGTTGTGACGTTTTTGTGTTTATATTTAATTGGTGATTGTATGGTGGAGTGACTTGCCCACAATTTTCGTTTTCTTTGTTTTATTTGTATGTTATCTACGTAAGCAGGGTACTATGCTGTGCTCCTCTATTTGCTAGTTGGCAGCACTTATACACTCACCTCCTGTCTCCAACCCCTGGTCAGCCTCCCAGATGTCCCTCCCATCCTTGGCAAATGGAGCCTATTCTTAGGTCCTGTTTTTGTTCAGGTTTTTCCACTAGTTGGTGCCTCATCCACTTCTGTATACTTCCAGTCAAAGCTCAGGGCTCCAGGATTATCTTCTATATCTCTGTCAATTGGTTTCTATTTGCTTTGTTGAAGAGGGTCTGTGTAGCTTGTCGGCCTATTCCTCCATCTTACCGGAAGTCCCATTGCAGTTTCTTTTTGAGGTGATGAAAATATTCTGGGATTAGATAATGTGATGGTTGCACAACTCTTAGGACATACTTTAACCTCTCAGTTGTATACTTTAAATGCATGAATGTTATGGTAAATAGATTATATCTCAATAAAGAGTGCATAAACCCCAAATGAAGTACCGATTGAGCTATTTTAACAAACGGATGCCCCATTGGAAGCACTCACTCGGTTATGCCAAGAGATTTGGAAGACAGCCATCTGGCCAACTGACTGGAAGAGATCGTACCCATTCCAAAGAAAGGTGATCCCACAGAATG